AACGCTGACTCAACGGAGAAGATTTACCACGTATCGTTAGTCGAGAGAATTCACTAAAGTTAGTTTAATTAGGTCATTTATGAAAAAAAATAATAAAATAAAAGCTGCGATTCGTTGGTCGCTGCGAAATCACTTTCGTTTGAGCTAAAACGAAAAATAATTTATTACAATTTTAATAAAATTGTCAATCGTTGATCTTCTGAACATTTCATACTCCACAGATAGACACTGTACTGCAACGAAGCACGAATGATTCAGTTGACGCAAATGAAGCGGTCATAAACGACGACTAAAGTGGCCATTGCTGACTAGAATACGTTTATTTAGTTAAAGATAGATAGTCGATGTAGAAAACGGTAGATAGAAAGCAAAAACTTAAATAATTACATGCTTCATTCAAAAAGTCTACACGAAAAGTTCATTGGAAGCTGACCACGGCCATTTCATGAATCACAATGACGTTGATGATAATTTGTACTGGCTGAAAAAAACGTTCAACCGTTGTTCTCACGAAGACACAAAAGCACTTCAACGCGAGTCGATTGGTTGATGATACTCTTGTCATCTTAATAGTCAATATAGCTACTTTAACTATTACCTTCCTAAATAGTTTGTATGAGCCGAGTAGGTAGAACGAAATCGAAAGTAAGCTTTAAAAGATGTTTGGCGAAATTAAGTAAACCGATGCTAGGTTCTTTGTATAGCTTCAACGACTAATAATATGAAATAGGGGGTTATGGGATCAGTCACCTCATCTATGATAAGTCTTGAAACGTTTGACAAAATACGAAAACGTACTTCACTAAACGAACATAGAGCTTATTAACATTTGCTATGTTATAACCTAACCTTAAGACCAGACGAGGGCTCGAAACAAATTTATTGAGCGAGTAAGTAGAAGCTAGGCCTTTTATATTGTTGCAATGAGAAAGGCAACAGAAATAATGAATTAACGTTACGCACTGGGGGCACAATGTCGATGAGAGGGGTGATTAGTTTACAGCTGAAGGAAGGTTTGTTGTTGAGGCAGGATGGCCAGCCAGCTGTGATTTGAATGTGTCCATTATTTTACAACTAGGAATGCCACCACACTGGCTAATCATAGGGGTACGAAGATGAAGAACAATGTGTATAGGATTACCGGCTAGTAAACACGATTGGCTTTGCTATATATTTTTATTCCATGATATACGCTCTACACATAAATTTGCACAGTTTAATTTTCTACCCATCTTAACCATCGGGACAAAACGCATAAGTCGTTCAAGCCTGTTGCAACATAATTAGAAAAAATCGAAAACAGCGTAAAAATGAAAAATTTTATTTACAACAAAAGTCATACGTAGAAGTGACACTCTACAAATGGTGTTCATTTATTGAAGTATAATATCGATGCCAACGAAGCCGGTTACAAATCAATATTGAGAATCTGTTTTTCAAAACCAAAAAAAATTACATTTTTTTACACAGACATTAATAACTGCTATTTTAAATATTAATAACACGTTTACTGTCCTACGTCTGTTTCAGCTCTAAACCTGCTGTATCATTTTGCCTTAGTTTGAGCGGAAAAAGCACCAGTGCCTTCAGCCACGTTGAGAATCACTGAGCTTAATTGAACCTTTGTTTAGACAATACGTTAATAACGTAACGGTATGATAAAAGTCGATCCGATGGCCGTCAAATTACAGCAGTTTATAATGGATGAAAAGTAATGCGACGAACTCATTCATGTCATGTCCTACTGTTCCTGATCTTCTCCTAACATATACTTTCCGCTATTAAATTGAAGATGATAATAACTATAAAGAACGCAGTTCGAATCTGAAGAGTAACGATATATTGGGTAGCGATGATAAGTAAAAGAGTCCGTCGAATAATGCGAAACGGCGGATGAATATCCGATAGAACGTTAGCTATTATTGCTCGAGTGTTGATCCGAAACCGTGGATGGCCTGTCTTCTAATGACAGTTTATTATTAGGGCTTCGTATAGCATCTAGACATAATTGCAGCATTTGTGTGTGGTGTACCTTATATTTTCGACAAATAATCTAGGACAATGGTAAAAAATTACGTCAATCTAGCAAATCCACAAGGCCATGTATTCAGGAGACGGCACTGATGCTCTCAATATACCAGCCTCTCTGATTTTTTACTCTCAAGAGAATCGGATGTTTCTTGATTAGGTATGCTTTTCTTAACTTAAGTAATTGAGCGGAACGACATTTAGGCTACAGACGTATATCAAATTAGAAAAACCTTTTTAAAGTATAGGTCACTCTTCATATTTTCGTTAATTCTATTTTGCTTCGGCGATATAGCCTTTAGATTTTCTGTTGATCTAATTCTTCATTTTTTACATCTAACAGATTTGAATTGCTATTTGAAACTCCTCTTATTGCCGTTATATATAAACCGTGATAGGTGTTGCGTCGTCAAACTCAACCCATTTCCTTGGGACCGATGTTGACCCATTGCGGCGACCACTTCCAAAGGCTCACACATGCTACATCTTGAAACATGTATGGTACTACATATATCGCGAAATCGTCTACGAAAAGAATCGTATTATTTAAACTAGTAATATTACCTTTAGATCAATAGTAATTTCATTTATCCGTGAGCTATGAAATAGGCAAACACGAGCCCGGAAGTCCGAAGGTATTTTCAGCCACGACACATGCCGCTTTGTTTCATATTTATGACGAGAATTTAGCGGCACGACAAAGAATATTTTTAGTACTCGAAAATCCAAATTATTACTCGAATACGTAAATTAAAAGAGTCTTAGACCAGGGTTGAAATTGGGCATTATTTTGAGCATAGCAAACATTTTTATTATAATCTCATTTCTTAAGTGACTTGGGCCACAGGATACCTTCAAATACGCGACTGTATTTTTGGTTCTGCTTTCAGGCATAAATATTTGTAAGAAAGTTCAGATCATTTATGTGTATATTACTATGTCGCCAATTATTAAGTTCAATTAATGAGCCAATTAATAAGTCGCCGGTCTACTAGCCACTGCTGTTTGACTGATAAGCAAGGTTGATTTTTTCTATAGGTGTGGTTTTTGTGTTTAGTTATTTATTTATCCTGAGTTAGTTTGTATTTTAGTGAACAAAATGCTCGTTCGATAACCAAAACACGACACCTACGAAGGACTAACAGGACTAAGTTCGATGCACTTCATTTCTAAAATTGTAAACCAGTACCGTTCAGATGACCAAATTCGTTAAAGCTTTTATGTACCGGATGATACGATATCCTCTCACAATAATCAGACGACCAAATTCGTTGGAGCTTTCAAATATTAGACGGCTTTCTTCTTTATCGTAGCGTAAACTCATTAAAGCTTTCATGTATCAGATAACTTTCCTCTCTAGCACAATGTCCAGATGGCCAAACTGGTTAAAGCTTTAAGTACCAGATGGTACTATTTCCTGTCATAACAACCAAATGACAAAAGCTCGTTGGAGTTTCCAAGTGTCAGACTAAAATTGTAAACCAGTATCAGGTGGTCAACTTGCCATAGTTAAGCCATTCTAAACTGGCGTGTGATATACTGTTTCGGCTTCTATCGTACTTGAAATATTGATGTTCCGCATGTCGCATAGATGAAAACACAACAAATTACTCCCGTAACCTACTGAAGGCTAAGATAACGGTTCTGGATGCCTACATGGTTTTCCCCCTCAGATCAGACGAATCATTACTTTATATACTTATAACGAATATTTTGATATAACGAACATTTTTACCAAAAATAATTCCGCCAGTCTATTGTACTTCGAATCGCTGCAACGTTACTGTGTATAGGGCAACTTCCTGAATCGGCTAGCACTTCAGAGCCTTCCTTCATCTTACGGTTGCTAATCCATAAGTATATCAGATTGCCGCTACCCTATCTGGTACTACCGTGTCCTCAAGAAGGCTAATAGTTTGTAAGTATTTATACATTTCGTTATTTTTTTCAGATGAGAGTTTTCAATGATATTTTAATCGACCTGAAAGAGAAGATCTCTGATTTATTCCAGTAATTAGGCTTTTAATAGCACTGATATTTATGCGCGGAAAAAATGACGCATTATAAGTAGCACATAATTAGCAAAAAACATTCGATGTACATGTATCGAAAGCTGCCTCTGAAAGCAATCTATTCAAGCTGCTCAGAGATTTCCGGTTTGAAAATTTCCACATACTAGAATATAAAGTTTCAGCACAATTCAACACAAATGTTCTTCGCCGCATTCATTTACACTGTACTTATCGTGTTAGAACGGCTTATAGCGAAAGTGTTCGATGGCGGTTCAAAATAACACGCAATGCTCTATATTTCAGAGTCTAGGGTTTCTTCAGTAGAACGAAAATTGCTAGAAAAAATATCAAAAGTTTTATACATGCGCTTCTTGTTACTACATGATCAGACTTTGCAGTCAAGCTTCTAGAAACGTCTGGATGAAAAGAGTTCTAACTTTGAAATTTTCTTTTATCACGTATTGCACTTAGTCAGTATTCAGTGTGGCTTAGGTCTCCTCACATTCCCCTGCGATAGCCGCTCAAACAAACTAAACATATCCCTGTTTTTATTTCTGTTTGCCCTATAAGGCCGACTGTTTTTTCTCTTGTTTTTATTTATTATCGCTGTGACACAGTGTTTTATTGTCGAGCTTTTTACATATATATATATATATATATA